AGTAATTATGCATTCCGATAGCGCGTAAAGTTTTCTACAACTCTATATATATATATATATAAATTTTGAACTGCACTTGTTCGACAAAATAGAACTTTAAGTATAATGAAGTCACTCTCATCATCAAACTCTCCGGAAACGCATTTTTTATTTCTTTTTTCAAATTTATTTTAATATTGAAATAACCTATGACAAGAGTAGACTTATATTCTGAAAGTTCGTAAAACTTTCTATGATTCTATATTTTTATCAGTCTTTGACTTACAATTATTTTGATGACAAATATTTCGAATATTGTTAAGGTACTCACGTATTAACATTCTTTGGTCAAGTGTTAATGAGAATTTGAATGATATTTCTATGAAGAATAGTTCATTTAAGACAAAGAAAAAAGTCTGAATAACATTAAGATCAGAGGTGACAGGTGAATAATTATTCACACAATTTATTTGATTATTAGAGAACCATAACGTGGATTGCTGTATGAATTAATTAGTGGAGTAGTCGAGAGTGAAGGTGTCAAAATGACAATACATGAACAATATTCAAAATATTTTCCATAAAATCATGAAAAGTTAAAGACTGACAAAAGTACAAGATGAGAGAGATTTCCACGCACTTAAATATATAGACTTACCTTCGTAAAAACTGAATCATTATATTAAAATAAATTTGAAAAAAAAATGAATGATAAAGAAACAAAAAGATATGCATTTCCGGAGAATTTGACAATGAGAGTATCTTCACTATATTTGAATCTTTATATTAATGAATAAGTACAATTCACAACGTACATACGTAGGATTGTTGAGAGTTCCGCGTACTACTCGAATATATAATTACTTTTCTTAAAATATTGATTTATAGTATTGATATGCTAAAAATATCGAATCTAACTGTTTTCTTCTACAGGGATACAGTGTCGCAGAAAATTCTTCGCACTGTTAGAATATATAATTATTTTTATAAGAATATTAATTTAGGGCAATGACAAGTTGAAAAAAAAAATGAAATCTCACCGTTTTTCCCAAGAGGATATAGTAATCAACTTATGGAAAAATATTTTCATTCCATGTTCATTTTGTTAGAAAAGAATGACTTGATATACTCAAGTGATTCAGATTTCAGTATTAATAAAACGTTTGTTAAAGGTTAATTAAGAAAAAAAAGAGGAGATATGTAGAATTTCCTTTGATTCTTATAAGCACGTCCTACTTCTAAAGATGGCATAGAAATGTATTAAGATGCACTACTTGACTTCATTGAATTAGTATAGTTGTCAAGAACTATGATATTATATCACGAACATTATTCAAAACTTTGTTTTTTCTTGTAAACAATGACGACATATTTACACTTATTCACTGTATGAAGCAAGAAAAATAATGTTATTATAATCAAAAAGAACTGATTAGTTGTATTCAAGTGAATGTAACAACAGTCAAAACAGTGTTTAAACATCGTAATAGATAAACTGAAAAAATGTTTGTTTAGTCATCAAAGACTTGTTAAAACAATTAACAATTTCAATTGTTTTGATGAAAATGCTTTGTAACAATTAACAAATATTTCATGTAAATGATGAATTGATAAATGTACTGAGTATCTGAAAAATGTTTTTTTCTCATAAGCTCCTTTATTGATTGACTGTAACATTTTTTGTATGACAGGTGGCATCATCAAGATTTTATTTCTATGGACAAACTATAAATGTGCTCTTTAGAGTAATTATCTTTATCTGAGAAATCAAAAAATTTTAGCATTTTTTTCTGATTCCATAATAAAATTTCTTAGCGTTACTTTTTTAATTGCTCGAATTTCGACTGGATTCTATTTGATTTCTTTTTCTGATGACATATCAGAACTAATTTCTATAAAATGACTGTTCGAGATTTGAACAATAATAAATTCCAGAAATCAAAGCAACTAAAAAAAAAGAACTCTATGGAATTTTATTATGGAAGCAGAAAAATGCTAAACTTTTTTTTGTTTTTCAGATAAACGTAATTACTCTAAAAAGCACATTTACTGTTTGTGCATAGAAATAAAATCTTGATGATGCCATCTGTCATACAAAAATAAAAAGTCAGTTCATAAAGGTCAAACAATAATGAACTTATGCGAATAAAACATTTTTGGGTAAGGACTTTTGGGACATCCTCTGCATCTGTCAACTCATCGTTTACATGGAATATTTGTTAATTGTTACGAAGCGTTTTTCATTAAAACAATTCAAATTGTTAAAAACGCGTTCAATCGGTGAAAGTCTCAACCACTCTGAACGTTTGAACATTAAAAAAAATATGTTTAAAAATTATTAATTTAAACTGTTTTATTGCTTTTTTGGCTACTAACCAAACATTTTTCACAGTTTATCTATGGAAATATATAAACGACATTTCGGCTGTTATCATGTCTGTCTTGGAAAGGCCATTCAATAGTAAAGTTACGCGAAAAAACACTTTTGGGTAGGAACTTTTGAAACATCGTGTAAATGCTGTATGTTGACCATTGAAAAATAGTTACTACATGGAAACTTATAATAATTCCCACGACAAGATTGCTCTATCAGACTATGTAGTTTTCTCTATCCTTTCTCTTAAAAATCGAAGTTTTATTTAGTCTTGTTTATTCTATATGGTTTGTTTTCACTTTAAATATTCTATCTTGTTAGAAAATTTCAATATTATTTTCTTGTTTTTTTAAATACTGAGTTACTGAATCCTCAAATGTCATTCAGTATACAAGAAAGCTTAGCAGTGAAGTAATGAGTGTCCTGTACTTTAAAAATTTTATGTCTATTCTTTTTATAATGAGAAATTCAAGTATCATATTGAAAATAATTAACGAATTAGATTGTTGGACGAATACATCTTTAAATATTACGATTAATGCAGGAATCGGTCAAAGAAATGGCAATTCAATAATTATCTAACAAGTTTCGAATGCTTAGAAAACTACAATCCGAATTACCATTACTGGCAAATGTTCTATTCGATGGACAACACTAAATTTATTCTTATCTCAATTAGTTCATAGTATAAAAATTTTAAAAGAGAATACTATCGGAAACAACAATGACATTCTATGAGAAGTGGGAACTATTGCAAGCTTTTTATGTGTATTTCTCTTGAATGATGAATTATTATGTAGCTTATTCATTTGCCGAAGGCCTAAAATTAATTATCTGTATAGTTAGTTGAAGCTCTAATCATCTCAAACAACTCATCTCATAAGTGTACTCATGGCGAACTTTCTTCATCGAACATTTTGACCGAAGAACAATTATCGGAATAGTAGTATTCTAATTCTTGATGAAGGGATTCAGACGTTTATATTTGTGTCGATCTGACATATAGTGATTACTAAAATTGGATCGATATCAGAACTTTAAAAAAAAAAAACTCATCATTACTAATGATACACTAAATTTTCTTGTCTTGAAAGATTTTCTTCAGAAAAAAAAAGAACGTTTATCTATGTTGCATATGTTTATTCTTATACATATAATAAGGATATACATTACTTAGACTAAATCATACATTGATGCTTAGTATAAACAAAAAGTTAGGTAGATACTCTGTAAATGAGATAAAACCCAAATGAACATATGAAAAAGAAAGAACAAGCAAGTAATCGAAGGAGAAAGGAAAAGGAAATAATTTTTCTTTTTTTTGTATGCTAGATGGTAATAAATGACAGAGCGACAGGAAAAATTGTCTCGAATGCAGATGAATGAAGCAGAACTATATTTCTATCGGGTGAAGAGAAAAGGAAATGAAATAAGAAACGACTAATTCTTGAAATTTAATAAAACAATTAAACTCAACCTTCTTTTTTTTTTTTTAATAATTAGAAAATAGATTAACTTAATTCACTTCATTGGTTACGCTTGTCACTCACACATATTTCTGCTTTTAAACGAAACAAAAAAAAAAAAAAGATTTTCAATATCGTATTATTCAATGGAGCAGAAATGATCTATATACTCAATATAATATCTTAACGTATTGTATTATTAATAGTAATTTATATTTACTATGTAAGCATTTGAGTGTCACTATTATTTGTTTACTCGTTAATGTAGTTCACAGTATACAATCACACTGAAACTCACCTTCTTGAATGTACAGTAAAATAAATTGATGTTAGCAAGATGATATTATAATGTGCTTAAAAAAAAAAGTATTTCTAATATCTGTTGTTGATAATCTGACTATGAAAAGGTATCAACGTGAGATATATTGTAAGTTCATCTTTGTTCACTATGTCAGTGTATGATAGTATAACTGCAGCAAATGAAAGAAAAGCTTATTTTTTTATCCTCATCAAACATTAGCAAAGAACGCTATATGTTTTAACGATCTATCGTATCACTCAGATATTGGTGAAAAGATACAGTGGACTTCTATTATTAATAGAAGAAAATACTTTCTTCGTTTAAAATTCCTACGCACTAATAATAAGTAGTGTAGATAATCTTTTTATTTTTTATTAGTAACACATATACATTCTAATTATCAGTCGCCTATTAGTAATAAGCGGTAAATAACAACACATACTAATTATGAAAAGATAGTCAAATTGATTACTTACCAATTATTATTATGCGATTTAGATATATTTGATTATATATACGTACTGCAGAATAGTTAAACTAAATATTTACCATTTACTAATAACAAATGAGTAGTAACAACTACTGGCAACTAGCAACTGGTAAGTAATTTCTGACAATCAAAGCAAAATAACGAAAATATTGCTTATATGTGTTCTTTTCCTCGAAAAAAAAACTACGAAATTAGGGCGTTTTTAATGATTTCAATCCGAATCTTGGCAGATAAACTGTGAAATGGTGTTTAAACGCATTTCTAATCATTTATTATCTACGTGAGTAAGAGTACTCGGTGTACAATATTCAATACAGAATAAGAGAATTTATTAAATCAATATGACAAAAGGTAGTCAAAAAGAACACACACACACACACAACTAAAAAGTCATATATTGTTAAGTAGTTTCTTAGTATCGTCAATACGAATATTTAAATCGCTGATAAATTGATTATTGTTTGACTGACCATTAAATCTAAGTAAACCTACTGCTTTTTCATAGTTTTCTACGGCATTTTTATAATCACCTAGATGAAAATAACTTTTTCCAATAGCATCATAAAGAGGAACAAGATCAATATGTATAGATGGTAAATAACTCAAACTGACATCAAGTGCTTGTTGATATTGTTCTAATGCTTTTACATAGTCACCTGTAATCATATAATTAGCACCAAGACCATTATGTACACGTACAAGACGATGTGGTTGACTAAGAACTGAAGTATCTTGTAACATTTCAATAAAAAATTGTTCAGCATGTGTATATTCACCCATTTCTATAAATAATTTACCTACATATGACAATGGATTAGCATGTATTTCACTACTTCGTAATGGTGTTACAAGACGAAGTAATTGTGGATCATCATCAGCAATTAAACTTAATTTTACAGTCCATATAGTAATTGTTAAATTGTCAATAAATTCTTCAATAGAATCAATACGAAAGACAGTACTCATACTAAATAAAATACCATTTTTTTCAATCTGTTCATCAACATAAATTTTATCAAGTGTAGCAAATGGACTTCTTATACTACGTATTATTGGATTAATATGTATTTCAAAAAGAATACCAATTGTATTAGGAAAAGCAGTAAGACGACGACGAATAAAATTAAGACTAATTTCTTTATCTCTATGAGCTATAAAAAAATTGCTAAATGAAAGAAGACCACCATAATTATTTTTTATAAAAGCAATAAATTTATCGTTAAACATTGTTTTACCACGATAGACAATTAATAAATTTTCTGATATAAATGAATTATTTTCTTGAAGAATAGTAAGTTGTGTATGTGCATGTTTAATAAGAAAACCTAATTTATAAAGAATATCAATTTCACATGTACGTTGCATGCGTTGTAAAATACGTCCAATAAAACATTGTCGTGTTAACCACCAAAGTATTTTTTGTGGACGATAATTTTTTTCAAAATCATCAATTATACATAATTGTTCATAATTATGTGCATAATGTAATCGACAAAAATTAATAAATTCATTTTTAGCATTATTTTCAAATTTTAATCGATAGAGAATTTCTCGTATTAATTGTGTATAAAGAAATGATGCTTGTTGTTTTTTTACATCATTAGATATAGTATCATCATGTAATAATGAATTCGAAGCACTAATAATTAAAAGATCAAATCCACATAATTCAACATCTGTTTCTAATTGTTGACGAAGACTATCAATATCATAAAAAATATTCGATGATGTAGTAATATCTATAATATTATCATTTTCACGAAAAGATGGATCAAGTATATAAATTTTTTCAATTTGAGGTAAATTTTGTATTGATTCAAGAAATGTTTCTTGAGTTGGTACAATAAGAAATATTCTTTCAATTCGAATATTTATAATATAATTAATACATTTATCACAATCATTGAAGATTTTTACTGTTGAAACAACATGACGTAATTTAGCTTTTTCAATTTTTATATCTATGGAAGAATCATTAAGAAACCAAACGATAATACAATCTTCTATGATACGATCCGATTGTTCATTAGATAATGAATGAGATTGAATAGATTTTATACGAGATTCTTCTTCGATAGATTTGTTAGATAATGTGTCAGTTTTCGATTGTGAACAACCCATTTTAGAATAGTAAATCTTAAACATATTAGATTTATAATTGAATATTTTATATTCGTATATATTTTTTAGGAAAAACACTGGTTTTTTTTTGAACTTTTTCTATTAAATCTACTATTTTATTGTTTTTTTTTGATGAATCACGAATCAGAATTATATACTACAAATAATTTCATCTCTTTTATCAAGAAATAGATTTGTTAGTGCAATTCCCAACGGGATTATTTCTATCTATTTTGAAACAAAAAGATCTTCACCATCATTTTATATAATCATTTAGCAATAGAATAAGAAAATAGTTCATATATTATAACGAGACATTATTAACATTCAGTCTATGATTGTATATCAATATTTATCACGGTCTATGATAATCTCTGATTAGCATATGTCACAGTCTGTAAGGGAAAGGGAGCAAATTTTTACTCCTATACTTCAACACTGCTATTTGGTTCTTCTTCATATATTTGATCTCGTTACTTCTATTTCATGATTGATATAGCAAAATCTTTTGAATATTGACATCACTGACAAATGGTTTTTTTTTTGCCATAATAAGAGAAAACTTCTTATTGTTCACTAAAAATTAATATGATTAATGAGAAAAGAAAAACGTCGGCATTTTTTAAAAATAAATGCTATGAGTCTTTTTATGTTATCTAATTTGTCACTTTCAAGAGATCCTTTGACAAAATCAAGATAAAATATATATAATTGAAATAAATTAACTTTCCTTACCTTCTACTCATAAAAGAATGCAGTATTAATATATAATGAAAGCATACGAATATATATAATATTTAAAAAATGTTTACTTATTTTTCAGTAACTTCCTACGCTATATTTTGAAGCTTCTAATATTCAAATAGCATGAAAATTTTTTCTTAATCAAATCATAAAATCAGTTTGAAAGTATTTAATTATTAATTCATGCATAGAAATCTAAATTCTGATTAATCAGAATTTTTTTTGTTTTGTATATATATATATATAATTTTAGCAATTTTATCAACGTAAAATAACAACTCTCGATGTTTGTTTTTTTCTTTCTTAATATAGTATTTTGATTGATTAACGGATGTGTAAATCAACAATCATATATTCTATAATGAAAACAACTGAAGTTAATCTATACTTTCATATCATGTTTTTTATCATCCTCTTTTTTTTTACATGTGAATTATGATAGTTCTTACGATCAGATTAAATTCATCTACTTGTGATCGGTCTTCTCAGACAAACTATCTACAGTTTTAAAAAAAAAACTTACCTACCCGGTAAGCTTCTTAGATAAAAGTATGTCGCTGGATTGAATTTATCTTTATTTATACGATACTTCTTGCATGATATGCTACAGACAATACTATATAATGATGAATTCTATCATCTTCTCGTATTCATTTTTACACTTATAATAGCATATAAAACTTTATTTGAAACTGATACTATTGTAATTTTTTCTTTATCATCAAAATTTTTTCATTTGTATTTATAATTCTCAATTAAATATGGTTTGTATTTCTTGTATCACCTGCTTTACTTACTAGATACACAAAAAAAAAAAAAAAGGAAAATTCTATCAGTATTTTTTTGACTAACATTCTGCACAATCGACAATTTCCTGGAGAAAAAGAGAATATATTTATATTCATTCATCCTATTTTCTTTGGATTCTATTTAAATTGGAACCGACTTTTGTATCTATTCTTATCGCAAGCAATCTTTATAGCTTGCTATAAAAATCTTGATAGAAAAATTGTAATAAAAAACACAACACTAAACATAGAGATAGTAGAGTAAGCTTATTATATATTCAAACATAATAGAATACCTTATAATTATAATGTTGCTCGATTTTTTATGTTAACATTATCGTTCTTTTTTTTTTCTGCTTAAATAGATGAATTTGTATTACAACTCTAGATACCTAATTCTCAACAGCTTACATTTTAATACTTTATGTGTGTGTTGTTCTCAAAGATAGAAATATATTTCTGAATTGTTTATAAGATGATTTCATAACTTACTGTGTTATTTTATTTTTTCTATATTCTAAATCATTTTGTACTATTTATCTAAAATAATTAGAAGCATACTAAATCAATATTATTTTTCTTCGAATGTATCTCATAGGTTTATTTTGATGTTTATGCACTCGTCTTGAGTTTCATCTTCTAAAGGACTTTATTAGAATAACATATAAATCATCTAAATCATTATGATAAAGATTATATGAAAGAAAAAGGATTATGAATATTTTCTAGACTGTAACAAATATATTCTTTTAGAAAAGAATTTTCAATTAGAAAATGTACACAAAATGATTTATTTGACTGATCAAATAAAAACAATTCTTCTTTTTCAAATAATCGAAATTAATTGATAGAACCTTTATTTTCCGAAAATTTATATTTCCAATATGATTATGTTCTATTTGAGTAGTAGAAGAACTTCTTAATATAAATATTTATACTATTCTAATGATTCTTTATTTTGAAGGAAATTACATGCTAAGGGCACTATTTATCGTAAAAGATTATTAAAATGAATCGAATGATCTATATAAATCGCTAACAATTCAAATCATTCAATCTAAATGTTAATATATGGAAATATTTGCAAATTCTCTAACTATTGATATTAATGCTAAGTTAACAAATTCAATTGTATGATAGAAAACCTTCGTTTAACACTTAATTTATACAAATAACTTGTTTATCTCGAAGAAAAAAAAAAATCTACTCAAAATTTACTTTCTTTTTGAATCAAATATAAAATATCTCTTGAATGAAATCAATATTAGACAAAATTTGATAGATTATGATTAGATGTCTATCTATTTTGATAGATTACCAATCATTTATTGTCTATTCTTTATCGCATAAATTGTCAAAATGATGAAAGTATTGCATCAATACAAGACAATGATTAATGTTTTTCTCGTTTATCTTTTTTTTTATTTTTAAGAAAAGAAATAAGATACAAAAATATTCTATTAATTATATTTTTACTATCGTTTATAATCATTTTCTTTTGAAGTATTCACTAGACGCAAAATTCTTTTATGAAATATCATATAATTTTTTATATTTATAATCAATTATTATTTCATGTAAAATTATCATAATAATTTAAAATATTATAATCGATAAAGATTTCTGTCACAAATGATTTGATAACAAATGTTTCCTATAATACATTCTAACTTATTATATTATAATGATGATTCGAGTATCGAATTACCAAAGCTAACTCTAATGTTTTGGTATTATTTGACGTTTGTATTTTTGTTTTTATTTTAAGATATATGCTACCTGTGATCAGACCTATGAGAGTTTCGATTTCAAAAATATTCCAGTAACAGAATATAAAGAATAATTAATACTACGACTAACATTAATACAACAATCCTAATATTGATAAATAATTTATAAAAATTTTTCCAAAGAATTAAAAATTATTATTCATATGATAAAAAAATAAAGATACATGAAAATCAATATTATTATTATCATAAGCATTTATTATAATAATCTAGGATAAAATTAAAATTATTTATAAGTAATAAAAATATTTTTTATTCACATTAACCTAAAAGATTTATCAAACTAAATTAAAAAGAAAACATATAAAGACATCTGAATAAAAGTAATAATTATAATTTTTTACGAAGTTCAGAAAGATATCGTTGATAATTTCCTATTTTATGTTGATGTGATCTGTATGTTTGTTGTAAGATTTCAATAGCTTTTGTAACATGATATATAGCTTCTTCATATATTTTTAAACCTTCTAATGCTACAGCCATATTAAAATGTCTTGTAGCCAATGATGGATGATGAGAAGAAAGAATTTTTTCTTGTATTTCTAAAGCTTTTTTTTGACATGAAAAAGAAGCTGTATAATTTTGCATTAAATAATATAATAATCCAAGTTTATTATATGTACGTATCAATAGTAAATGTTGTAAAGGAAGATATGCTTCAAGAATTTCAAGAGATTTTTCATAATAATCAAATGCTAAAGAATATTTTTTCATTAAACAATATATTGAACCAAGATTATGATAAGTTTTAATTAATATTGGATCATTTAATGATATATTTTTCGTTTGAATATTTAATGCATGATGAAAATATTCATTTGCTTCTTTATAATTACCTTGATCTTTTAATACATTACCAATATCATTATAACGATCAGCAATTTTAAGTTGATTAACTTTAGCATCACGAAGATCAATATCTAAAGCACGTCGATAATATTTTAATGCTTCATCATAATCAGTACGTTGTTTAAGAAGTCCACCAATATTACTATAGGTTGCAGAAAGAAGTTCATAATCAATTGGTCGATAAAAAAGATTAATTTCTATTGATCTTTTATAAAAAGAAATAGCTCGATTTAAATTAATTGAATGACATCCTAGTTGATGATAAACAACTGCAAGTTCTTCCAATTCTTCATTTTCAGTCTTTTGAAGTAATGTTTGATAGTCGAATTCTTCAAGTGACATTTTTTATTTAAATAAATTCCAAAAGAAGTATAATAACAAAAGAATATAATACTTAGAGATTTCTTTTTCTTACTTATTTCTTGACTTTTTTTTCTGGTAGATTATCACGTGTTTTCGTTGACGATTGTTGTAACAAAGAAAAGAAATATTTGTTGTCATTACAACGAGTAAAGAAAAAAAAAATGTCGGCAGAATATTGAGAACGCAAAAACTTAATAAACAGAAGTTGTCCAATGAATTGAAAAAAAACCTACTTCGTCGATACGTTAGCCGTCTTTGCGTTTTTTTTTTTCTTTTTTATTTCTATTCTTACAACAACAAGAGAAATAAAATATATGTTAAAAGAACATCTTAGCCACATTCATGATCAAGCGTAATTTATTTTCTGTATAAATAAAATGAAATTTTCGATTGATATATTAATAAGAACTTAGATATTTTGAGTAGAAGAATATGACATATTAGACATTTATTGCGAGTAATTTGTTTTCATATCTACAAAGTCAAACGATCAATCAATCTTCATATAGTAAATTTAGCAGAGATACCTAAATATAAATAAAATTTGTACGGGTATTTTCCCATCGATGACGTATTATGCACTCATATTATTGTATTTATCCATGTAAAAACAAAAAGTCAGATAAAAAAATCTGATTGAGATCGATTAGAAACCGATTATGATAGAAAAAATAATTGAAAAAAAATCATAATTCTAAAATACCATTGAGTTTTCTTTGATTCGTATCAATTGTCATGAATTTATTTTCATCAATATTGAATTAATTAAAATCAAAACTAATCAAAATAATCAATGAAAAATGTAGATGTTTTAAATTATAAACGATTTTTAGTCAAAATCTTATGGATTTTGATCTGATTTTTCGTCTATTTTGTTTTTACATTGAATATTGAATCTTAGAATCTACAATTTAAGAATTTGTATTATATACTCTTATAATTATAAGCACACGCAAAACACAGTCAAACAAGGCACGATCATCATGACCAATTAGAGAGTGCAAACAGTACGCTGATAAAATAGATGAATAAATCGACAATAAATAATGTCGTTGCAATTTATCATTGGTGATAATTGTGAATAGACAAAATGATTAAAAAAAATCTTTTCTTATTGTGAAATGACGCAGATACTCCCTCGTATACCTTGATATCTACATTTCCTGCTCGAAAAAAAAAGACATCTTTTATATAGGGTAGGTCTATGAAAAGCAAACAAAAAAAAAAACATAAGATATTCAGAAAATTTTCTTTCATATCACACTTTGTAGAGCTTTTTTTGCTGACCTTTTTTATAAAAAAAACTTTCTTAATTTCATTGAGAAATGATGGTGTTATCGCTAAAATACTAAACATTGTAGAATAGCTTAAAATGCAATTTTTTTCTAATCAATAAGCATAAAAAGTCGATTCACATTTCTCAAAATGGATATAATGTGACATAGTAGATTTTATAGAAGAAAGTTTGTTCTACAAAATCCTATAGTCTGTTTCTCAGATGCATTCGAGTAGTATGAATAAATCTCAATAGAACATAATATACAATATTTATCGTAAAAACAAGAGGTGTCATATGTTTATCATAGGAATATTGTATGTTATGTTCTATCGAGATTTATTCATATTATCCGAATGTATCTGAGAAACTGATTATAGAATTTTGTAGAGCAAACTTTATTCTACAAAATCTACTGTGTCACATTATATTCATTTTGAGATATGCAAATCGACTTTTTATGCGTATTCATCAGAAAAAATTGCACTTTAAGCTATTCTACAATGTTTAGTATTTTGATTATAACATCGTCATTTCTCAATGAAATTCAAAAAGTTTTTTTTTTACCAAAATGATCAGCGAAAAAAGCTCAACAAAGTCTGATATAAAAGAAAATTTTCTGAATATTTTATGTTATTTTGGTTGACTTCCTAATGAAACTATTCTATAAAATTTATTTAAAAAAATGACAGGTTTGAAAATTATGATCTATGCTTGTCTTAGATAGGCTCAGTGATTTGCTTGAATATCTGATAGCAATCTCGTAAAAGAGAATTCAATGATATATTGTTCGATATATATATGTGATGAAACAAGTTAAATGAAAAAACTTTACAGTTTGAATGTCGTCTATAATAAGCAGTCCTTAATTAGTTGTATATATTTTTTTTCTTAAAACTTGTGTACAATCTATCTATTATCAAAATTCCTATTGTTATAGATTAACATTTTCTCATTCTATTTCATGGATTCAAGGCTTTTTTTTTTCTTTGAGAATGTATATCATTTTGAAGGAAAAGAAAAGTGAATCACTTTCAATTACTTGAATTGCCTATTATGGCTTTTTCCCATCGCCTTATTCATGCAGACACCTTTTGTAAAAACAAAACAAGGGATTATGACGCCGTTCTTTATTGTTTCTTTCTTTGCACTGCGTATATAGCTTTGCTCATCGATTCGTATCCAGCGTGAAGCTCAAATTTTCATGTTGCTTTTTTTGGATATTCTATGACGCATTATGTCTCATATACATTTTGTCATAATACGCGTCATCTGAGAATATTTTCATTCGTGTTATAAAAATGAAAATCTATCTATAAAACATTAAAGGGAAATCTACACTACTAATAAATACTGTTGATGCAATGTCTATGAAAGTAAAATGTGAAACACGATGCAGCCACTGTTGCTAATCACAGGAAGATTGTTTCATTTTATCTATTGTGTGACATATTTCTTTACCATTTGCTTACTTAATCCTTGAAAAATACAGTAAGTGGTTCATAAGTTATCACGAAACGTTTTTGATATACCGTCGTTGATCATATATTAACAACATTTGTCACGGTCTGTGATAAAGGAGAGACGTTTCTAACTTGTTTGTCATGTCACTAATGAGCCGCTTCTCATGTCTCTGTGATAACTTGTAGCAAAGATATTTGTCACGCTTGTCGAAGAGAGGGAACTGGGTTCAAATTTCAACCCTTATACTTCAACACTCCTTTTAGATCGTGTTTCACAAATCGAAAATAAATTCAATTTGAAAAATGTCAGATTCATCGGCATCTTTTCTTTGTCCAATTAGTTATGAACTCATAAGAGATCCAGTCATTGATCCTGATGATAATAGTTATGTGAAAAATGCAATTGAAGATTTGATTCAGCAAAGTGGTATATCACCAATAACTCGTCAGCTTCTTTCTATCCATGATCTTTGTTCAAATCAAGCTCTTAATATAGCTATTGATGAATATCATGATTCAATTCAACCAGACATTGAATCAAATTCTCTTCCAATAAATGTACATCCGTCTGAAATAACAATATCTACAAGTTATACAAATGAATTTATTCATATTTCAATTCAACCTCCACAAGATGAAAGTCGTTCTTCATGTGATATTTGTTGTGTTGTTGATACTTCAGGTTCAATGTCAGAATCAGCTGAAATTCAAAATGATAAAAATGAACAATATGATTTATCACAGTTAGATTTAGTTAAACATGCTCTAAAGACAATTATAAATTCTCTTCAAAGTCAAGATCGATTATCAATTGTATCATTTTCTGATAATGCTAAAATCTTGTTTCGATTAACAAAAATGGATGATGAAGGAAAAACAAATGCATTGGCTGCAGTTAAAAAATTATCGGTCAGTAAATTATGCAAGAATATATAGAAATTAACGATAGCAATTACTAATGTCTAGAATAGATAACCAGAAATATTTAAATTTAGACTAGATTAAACTGAATAGAAAAATATAGATATTGATTAGAAAACTGACCAATTTTTCGACATGTGCTAAGTGAAGTATTGTAGAACAATGTTTTATTTATCATAGAAGAGTTCAATATAGATTGAAATTTTATAAAATTTATTTTGAGATTAATCAACTTTCTTTTTATTTTATTTCGTCTAAATTACAACTTTCACAATATACAAATAATTGTTTGGATTTATATTGATGATATTTTATAATGAAGTATTCTTTAATTTGTTTAAAATTTTTATCTAGAACTATGGTTCAACAAACTTATGGGATGTTCTTCAAACTGGTCTTGAAATTCTATCGAAAGAACAACATTCAATTGGAAGTATTTCAGCTTTGTTTCTGTTGACTGATGGTTGTCCTAATGTAGAACCACCAGGTGGTCATTTGAAATCACTAAAAAAACTTAAGAAAGAAACTAATTTTACATGTGTTGTTAATACTTTTGGTTTTGGTTATAACTTGAACAGTAAACTTCTTGAAGATATTTCTATATTTGGAAATTGTGGCTCATATGCATTTATTCCTGATGGATCATTTGTAGGAACGATCTTTGTTAATGCTATTTCAACATTGTTAACTACAGTAGCAACCAATGTACAGGTAATAATTTTGTTCGAAACTATGACTATTATTATCTCAAAAAAAACCTATTCATATGATAAACGAAAGGTGACCTTGAACTTAGAGTGTGACAGAGATTAATACAAAATTTGTCATAGGTAATATATATATATATAAGCATATGGTAAAGTCTTTTTGACTAGACAATTGTATGAAATTGGTAAAATGATTTCGAAGATTTCACATTAAAATTGATCTAAAAAAGTAGACTCAGATTTGTACAATTACAAGGATTATTATTATGATCGAATCGATCATACTCTTTTTCATTTCATATATTCTCTAATAAGAAATGTCAAGTATTTTATTGTCCTTCTATTATAGTTATTAGTTCATAGTCAACATCTTCCACCTACGGATTATACACGTTGGTATTCAACAAATAGTACTAGTGAAGGTACTTATTTCCATTTGGGTTCGATTACATATGGTCAAAGCAAAGATTTATTGATTCCACTTTCTCGTAAATTTACTACTCAATGTAAATTCACTTTAACTTATGGCAACACACAAAACATAAAGAAATCTATCACATTCAATTTAACAAATAATCTTCAACAAGCTGATCTTGATCTCATTACTCAACA